CCCCCACCCCCCCACCCCACCCACCCACCCCCACCCACCACCCCACACCACCCCCTCCCCCCACCACCCCCACCCCACACCAACCCCCCAACCCACCCCCCACCCCCCCCACCCCTCACCCCACCCCACACCCCCCCACCACCCCACCCCCCCCCTCCCCCACACCCCCTCCCCCACTACCCACCCCACCCCACCCCACCCCCACCCCCACCCCCCCCACCCCTCCCACCTCACCCCCCCTCCCCCACCAACCCACCCCCACCCACCCCCCACCCACTACCCCCCACCCTACCCCACACCCACCCCTCTCCCCCCCTCTCCCCCCCCCACACCCACCCCAACCCCCTCCCCCCCTCCCACCCCTCCACCCTCCCACCCTCCCCCCCACCTCTCCCCCCCCCACTACCCTCCCCCCCTCCACACACCCCGACTCCTCCCCCCTCTCACCCGCCCTCCTCACCCTCACACTCCCCCCCTACTCCCACCCTCTCCCTCCCTCTCCTCCCACCCCCACACCCCCACCATCTCCCCCCCACTCCCCCAACCTCTCTCCCCACCACCTCCCCATCCTCACCTCCCATCCCCCCTCCCCTCCCCTCCCCCTCCTCCCCTCACTCCCCCTCCCCCCTCATCTCCCCCCCTCCCCTCCTCCCCCTCCCCTCTCCCCCTCCTCTCACCCCCTCTCACCCCCCTCCTCCTCTCCCCCCACTCCCCCCCTCCCCCTCTCCCCTCTCACTCCCCACCCCTCTCCTCCCTCTCTCCCCTCTCTCCCTCCCCTACCCTCTCCCCTCCTCCTCCCCTTCTCCCTCTCTCTCTCCTCTCCCCTCCTCTCTCCCATCGCTCTCCCCCCTCCTCTCCCCCTCCTCTCCTCCCACTCTCCTCTCCTCTCTCCCTCCCCGTCCCTCTCTCTCCCCTTCTCTCTCTCTCCATCTCTCTCTCCCTCTCTCTCTCCCCATCTCTCCCTCTCTCTCCATCTCTCTCTCTTCCTCCCCCCCTCTCACTCGTCAGTGCTTTGTGTTCAGTGTTATTGTTTCAGACTTAGTGGTGAAAAAGTGAGGGAGAAGCAGCACCTTTTCTTAAAGAGACGGAGAACAGACTTTTCTGCTGTTGTTATGTGTATTTGAGTCTGAGTTTCTTCTATTAAAAATGTAACAAAACTGAGCAGAACTGAAATATTCACAGAATGATAATAATAGGAGCCGCTCAAAAGAGTGAAGTTACAATCGTTGTCAGAAAAGAAGCCTGTCTCACATTTTTAGGATGACTGTTCCAGATTTTAGCTACATGAATGTGAAAAGCTGCCTCCACACGTTTAGTCCTGACCCTGTGCTCAGAGTCCCAGCAGAAGGGCAGTCCCTGTGCTCCTCAGAGTCCCAGCAGGAGGCCATTCCCTGTGCTCCTCAGAGTCCCTGCAGGAGGCCAGTCCCTGTGCTCCTCAGAGTCCCAGCAGAAGGGCAGTCCCTGTGCTCCTCAGAGTCCCAGCAGGAGGCCATTCCCTGTGCTCCTCAGAGTCCCTGCAGGAGGCCAGTCCCTGTGCTCCTCAGAGTCCCAGCAGGAGGCCAGTCCCTGTGCTCCTCAGAGTCCCAGCAGGAGGCCAGTCCCTGTGCTCCTCAGAGTCCCTGCAGGAGGCCAGTCCCTGTGCTCCTCAGAGTCCCAGCAGAAGGGCAGTCCCTGTGCTCCTCAGAGTCCCAGCAGGAGGCCATTCCCTGTGCTCCTCAGAGTCCCAGCAGGAGGCCAGTCCCTGTGCTCCTCAGAGTCCCAGCAGGAGGCCAGTCCCTGTGCTCCTCAGAGTCCCTGTGGGTTGGCTCTAACATGTCACAGATGTATTTAATGAACACACAGTTTGAACCGAGGACATTTAAACGTAGACCCCAATCTTCCACAGTTTAACATGCGTTGGACGTGGTTTGTTATTCATTGTACAAACGTATAAAAGTGTTTTTGTGGAACCAGAGGCGTCACAGCCCACTCGCTCCGCACAGAGAGCGCCTCGTTTAGCTGCTGTTGTTGAAACATAATTACTTTTCATTTGATGTGAAGAATTATTCAAAGTCAATGAGCTGCGCCGTGTTTGGAAGAGGCTTTGTTTACGCTCAGAACATCATTTCTACTGTTGAACATGAGGCAGAGGGAGAGAGGCCAGAGAGAGAGAGACCAGAGAGAGAGAACTGGGAGAGACACCAGAAAGAGACACCAGGGAGAGGGACCAGGGAGAGACGCCAGAGAAAGAGACTAGGGAGAGGTACCAGAGAGAGAGACACCATAGAGAGACACCAGAGAGAGATGCCAGGGAGAGACACCAGAGAGAGAGACCAGGGAGGGACACCAGAAAGAGAGAGACCATGGAGAGACACCAAAGAGAGAGAGAGACCAGGGAGAGACACCAGAGAGAGAGACCAGGGAGAGACACCAGAGGGAGAGACACCATAGAGAGACACCAGAGAGAGAGACCAGGGAGGGACACCAGAAAGAGAGAGACCAGGAAGAGACACCAGAGAGAGAGAGACCAAGGAGGGACACCAGAAAGAGAGAGACCAGGGAGAGACACCAGAGAGAGAGAAACCAGGGAGAGACACAAGCGAGAGAGACACCAGAGAGAGAGAGACCAGGGAGAGACACCAGAGAGAGAGAGACCAGGGAGAGACACAAGAGAGAGAGACACCAGAGAGAGAGAGAGACCAGGGAGAGACACCAGAGAGAGAGACCAGGGAGAGACACCAGAGAGAGAGAGACACCAGAGAGAGAGAGAGACCAGGGAGGGACAACAGAAAGAGAGAGACCAGGGAGAGACACCAGAGAGAGAGAGACCAGGAAGAGACACAAGAGAGAGGCACCAGGGAGGGACACCAGAGAGAGAGAGACCAGGGAGGAAAACCAGAGAGAGATTCCAGAGAGAGACCAGAGAGGGACCATAGAGAGACCATAGAGAGACCAGAGAAACACCATAGACACACCATATAGATTCTAAAAAGAGACTATGAAGAGGCCTGAGAGAGGGACCAGAGAGAGACCAAAGAGCTGCCCTTATGTTTTTCCAGGAATTACAGTGAAACTAGCTCTAGATTATTGTCATATTTACTAGCAGAGGCTCTTTGGAACGCGCTGATGTCACATGAACACAAACTGTCTGCAGGTTTTTTCCGAACACAAGATAATTGTGTCCTTCCTGTCCCCTGCAGTACCCCTAACTGAACACATGGGGGCTCTCTGACTCCACTCAGTCTCCCGTCTCTCCTCTCTCTTCTGTCTTTGTTCTGAAATCCTGCAAACCTCTTTTTTTCTCTCCACAGCCTTTTTGAGAGCAGACAGAACAGACAAATGTGTCCGACCGCCGGTTAGAATAAATAGCCTTTCACACTTAATTTAATTGACTATTTTGTTCAGAATCGAGGTAATCCTGCTTTTTCTGCCGCCGCAGCAAACAAGAAGTGCTACAAAAACATGGACTTCAATCTCCACAGTGCAGCACAGTGTTCTGGCAGTGTTGTGTTTAACCAGACCAACAAGAGGAAATAGCACCTGAGATCGGGAAGAAAAAAAAATAGATTAAAAAGAGACAGACAAACCAGATACAGCCAGAGAAGCCCTGGGGCTGAATGCGGCGTCACTATTGGGGAATATACGAACATATGGCTTTGGAGGTGACACTTAGAAATAATAACAACCTTAGTTCAAAAAACACATTGTCAGTCAAGCTTCTCACTGTCACCATAATGATTTCAGCTGTAGTCTGTTCATTGCTATTCACCTGCTGTCCCCCAGTGTCATGGCGTAATGATGGGAATCCAGCCTCTTCTCTCTGCACCTGTGAACTGGTCTCCCCTGGCCCAGACTCGTGGGTTGCACGCCCCTCCCTGCCAAAGAGCCGCCTAGTCCTGGGTTAACAGCCTTAGACCTGGGTCTACAGTCTCAGTCCTGGATCTACAGCCTCAGACCCATGGTTCCACAGTCTCAGTCCTGGATCTACAGCCTCAGTTCAGACTCAGTCCTGGATATTCAGCCTCAGTCCAGGATCAACTGCTTCAGTCCTGGATATTCAGCCTCAGTCCTACAGCCTCAGTCCTGGAACTTCATCCTGTCTATTGGAAATCTCTCTCACTGATGCGGGAGGGTCGACTGACAATGATGATCCAGAACATTACGGATGTTTAAGGTCATCCCGCTCTTTGGACCAATGGCTCATATGTGTTTGTTATTATTGCATACATGTTCGAGCTCTTTGATTCTCTGATCTGTTGTGAATCAACACATTTGGAGTCTGAGATTGAGGAAAAACTAGAGAATACTAAAAAATACCCTCTCCCTTCAACCTTCTCTCCACTCCCCCTCTCCTCCCTCTTCCTCCCTCTCCTGCTCCCCCCCCCCCTCCCCTCTCCCCTCTCACACGTCCCCTCTCTCTTGTGGAGGTGTTGCTGTTGCCGCCTCCAGCCGCGCGGCCACTGCCCCCCCTGCTGGCCGGAGCGCGTTACCCCACGCTGACCTGTTTAATTGCGGCCGGACCCCGACTCAGAGGCCGAGGCTGCAGAGGCCCGCCCCGGGACTCAGGACCTGTGGAGCACGAAAGAGAGGGAGAGAGGGAGGGCGAGAGAGAGAGAGAGGGAGGGAGAGGGAGAGGGAGAGATAGATAGAGAGAGAACAGACAAAGATACAAGAGAGAAACCTGAGTGAATAACCAGGTCATTTATGAGACCAAAGTTACGTACCTCAGCTTTAAACTCCCGGAAAACAGCACATAATTCTGATCCACAAAAAGAGTGGATCAGGTGAGGTTTAATGAGCTAATTAAAAGTAGTTAATATTTTAATGTGAGGTATTTTTAGCAGAGGTAATAATACGCATTCATAAATTTGCCTGAGCCCGCAGCGGCTAACGCTAACGGCTAATTCTCCTTTATTTGTGATCTTTCCTCAAATTCAGCTCTGAATGTTTTATGTGGAGAAGGATACGGCTGATGTTTTTCAAAGCCTCAGGAGGAGAAGGAGAAAGACATTATTTAGAAAAGTTAAAAGAAAACAATAAACAAGACACACTATGAATTCATCTATTCTGCACCATTCTATTCTACGCTCTACTCTACTCTGCTCTACTCTGCTCTACTCTACTCTACTCTGCTCTTCTCTACTCTACTCTACTCTGCTCTACTCTACTCTACTCTACTCTACTCTGCTCTTCTCTACTCTACTCTACTCTGCTCTACTCTACTCTGCTCTTCTCTACTCTACTCTACTCTGCTCTACTCTACTCTACTCTACTCTACTCTGCTCTTCTCTACTCTACTCTGCTCTACTCTACTCTGCTCTTCTCTGCTCTTCTCTACTCTACTCTACTCTACTCTACTCTACTCTGCTCTGCTCTTCTCTACTCTACTCTACTCTACTCTACTCTACTCTGCTCTGCTCTGCTCTGCTCTGCTCTGCTCTGCTCTGCTCTGCTCTTCTCTGCTCTGCTCTGCTCTGCTCTACTCTGCTCTGCTCTGCTCTGCTCTGCTCTTCTCTTCTCTGCTCTGCTCTGCTCTGCTCTGCTCTGCTCTGCTCTTCTCTGCTCTGCTCTGCTCTGCTCTGCTCTGCTCTTCTCTGCTCTGCTCTGCTCTGCTCTTCTCTACTCTACTCTGCTCTGCTCTGCTCTGCTCTTCTCTGCTCTGCTCTGCTCTGCTCTGCTCTGCTCTGCTCTACTCTGCTCTGCTCTGCTCTGCTCTGCTCTGCTCTTCTCTGCTCTGCTCTGCTCTGCTCTGCTCTGCTCTGCTCTTCTCTGCTCTGCTCTGCTCTGCTCTGCTCTGCTCTGCTCTGCTCTGCTCTGCTCTGCTCTGCTTCTCTGCTCTGCTCTGCTCTGCTCTGCTCTGCTCTGCTCTGCTCTGCTCTGCTCTGCTCTGCTCTCTCTGCTCTGCTCTGCTCTGCTCTGCTCTGCCTCTCTTGCTCTGCTCTGCTCTGCTCTGCTCTGCTCTCTCTCTGCTCTGCTCTGCTCTGCTCTGCTCTGCTCTGCTCTTGCTCTGCTCTGCTCTGCTCTGCTCTGCTCTGCTCTGCTCTGCTCTTCTCTGCTCTGCTCTGCTCTTCTCTTCTCTTCTCTGCTCTGCTCTGCTCTGCTCTGCTCTTCTCTGCTCTGCTCTGCTCTGCTCTACTCTGCTCTGCTCTGCTCTGCTCTGCTCTGCTCTGCTCTGCTCTACTCTACTCTACTCTGCTCTGCTCTGCTCTGCTCTGCTCTGCTCTGCTCTTCTCTGCTCTGCTCTGCTCTGCTCTGCTCTGCTCTGCTCTGCTCTGCTCTACTCTACTCTACTCTACTCTACTCAAAATTGGACAAATGCCCAAAAAAATAACAATTGTAAACCACTTTGTGACTCTGGTCTGTGAAAGGCGGTATATAAATAAAGATTACTTACTTACTTACCTACTCTACTCTGCTCTGCTCTGCTCTGCTCTGCTCTGCTCTGCTCTGCTCTGCTCTACTCTGCTCTGCTCTGCTCTGCTCTGCTCTACTCTACTCTACTCTACTCTACTCTACTCTACTCTGCTCTGCTCTACTCTACTCTACTCTACTCTACTCTACTCTACTCTACTCAAAATTGGACAAATGCCCAAAAAAATAACAATTATAAACCACTTTGTGACTCTGGTCTGTGAAAGGCGGTATATAAATAAAGATTACTTACTTACTTACTTACTCTACTCTACTCTACTTTATGTACTGTATTACATGTGACTAATCCAATTTATTTATAAAACACATTTTACAAATAAAGCAAACATAGGCCGCAACATTGAGTCAAAATACACCAAAAAGAGATAAAATAAATGAGAAAACAAATGTATTAAAAGGAACAGAAAAAATTTGAAACAATAAATATGTAATAAATAAAATATAATAATACAAAAGAAAGTCCGGGAATAAAAGCAGTAGGAGGTGTTTTCTCTACTCAACTCTACTTATAACATTATTCCTCATCTAAAATCAGACCTGGAGGTGATTTTGGCTCCATCCAGTCTGACGTCCAAACCTCATGTACAAGGAGAAACTGAATTTTCCAGTATGCGTTTGAGGTGAGAAGTCGTGTGGAGGCCAGAGGTGCTAATGTGACCCCAGGTGTGTGTGGGGGTGAGGGGGGTGAGGGAGAGAGACCGCCCCCTGTTCTATAATGAGGCCAGAGCACCACAGCAGCGACCCCTACAGCGTGTCACATGTAATGACCACTGCACCAGAGCAGGTGTTTGGCCAGTGTGTTTTTACAGATATAGCCCTGTTTCCACCGGCCTTACTCTACTCTACTCTACTCTACTCTACTCTACTCTACTCTACTCTACTCTACTCTACTCTAGGAGGAGGAGGAGGATGTGAGTTCCTACCGCCCACAGGCCTCACAGCCTCACAGTAATCACACGGCTGACTGAGCTCCTGGACCCAGCTGCCGCCAGAGAGACCTGACACAAACACAAACACAGACCACCCAGACCAGGCAGGACCCAACCAGACTGCAGATCCAGGACTGAGGCTGTAGATCCAGGACAGTAGCTGTAGATCCAGGACTGAGGCTGTAGATCCAGGACTGAGGCTGTAGATCCAGGACTGAGGCTGTAGATCCAAGACTGAGGTTGTAGACTCAGGACTGAGGCTGTAATAATAATAATAATAATGCATCGGTTTTATATAGCGCTTTTTTGGACACTCAAACTCATACACGGTGGTGATAAACTACTATTGTAGCCACAGCTGCCCTGGGGCACACTGACAGAAGCAAGGCAACCAGTATGTGCCATTGGCCCCTCTTACCACCACTAACCATTCACACAATAGACTCATTCTAGGAAATGGGGGTAGAGTGTCTTGCCTAAGGACACTTTGGACAGTTTGGCACTTTACAGCCGCCCCACTGTAGATCCAGGACTGAGGCTGTAGATCCAGGACTAATACTGTAGGTCCAGGACTGAGGCCAAAGATCCAGGACTAATACTGTAGGTCCAGGACTGAGGCCAAAGATCCAGACTGAGGCTATAGATCCAGGACTGAGGCCAAAGATCCAGACTGAGGCTATAGATCCAGGACTGAGGCATAGACCCAGGACTGAGACTGCTGATCCAGGACTGAGGCATAGACCCAGGACTGAGACTGTAGATCCAGGACTAAAGCGTCTCTCATTTTGGAGTAATCAAATCACCCCCTGTGTGTCTGTGAGGCACCAGGTGTTGCATGATGCATTTCCAACGCAGGAATTAGCAACAAAACAGAGAAAATTATGAATAATCAAGATTGTTTTGGCCACTTGACTGGAGAGGCCGCGGGGGACAGAGATTCTGCATCCAGGCCTCCAGGATATTACTCTGTGTTGAAAAGAGATTTAAAAACTGTACCTAAAGAATCTGATGAAGGACCAGCCACCTGTTGCATGTGTTTGAAGAGAGAGAGTCAAGAAGTTTCTAACAGTGTCACAGCGTTGTTCCTCGTCGAAAACAGACCTGGAAGTGAAAGGGGGAAGTAGGTAAAGTTGTTCACTCCTCTTTCCTCCATCTCCTCTCTCCTCCATCTCCTCTCTCCTGTATCTCCTCTCTCCTCTATCCCCTCTCTCCTCCATCTCCTCTGTCTCCTCTCTCCTCCATCTCCTCTATCCCCTCTCTCCTCCATCTCCTCTGTCTCCTCTCTCCTCCATCTCCTCTATCCCCTCTCTCCTCCATCTCCTCTGTCTCCTCTCTCCTCCATCTCCTCTATCACCTCTCTCCTCTATCCTCTATCCCCTCTCTCCTCTCTCTCCTCTATCCCCTCTCTCCTCTATCCCCTCTCTCCTCTCTCCTCTTTTATCTCTTATCTCCTTTCCTCTCTTTCCTTTCTTCTTCCCTCTTCTATCAACTCTTTCTTCTCCTATGGTCCTCTATGCTCCCCTATCTTGGAGTAAAGCAGAGAAGAGTAGAATACAGTAGAGCAGAGTAGAGTAGAGTAAAATACAGTAGAGTAGAGTAGAGCAGAGTAGAGTAGAATACAGTAGAGCAGAGTAGAGTAGAGTAAAATACAGTAGAGTAGAGCAGAGTAGAGTAGAATACAATAGAGTAGAGTAGAGTAGAGTAGAGTAGAGTAGGGCTGGAGGAAACAGGGCTATAGAGATACAAACAGTCTCAATGTAGCAGAGAATTGTTCTGAGGACTAAAACATAATATAAACAGGATCCAACAGTAGCTTCTGGAGACACAATAGTCAGTAAGTAATGTTTATTTATATAGTGCCTTTCACAAACCAGAGGCACAAAGCACTTTACAATTGTGGGCATTTGTCTCTCACTCCACACATGGAAGTGGGGTCGCCGTACAGGAGGCAACATGTTACTAGCGTGTTATTCATGTTATGTAGCATTTCTGTTTGTTATTACAGAAATACATAGGAATTATTGTGACGTTATATTTGTAAAACACATTGTAGACTTTTGTTGTTCAAATACAGCAGCAAAGCCTGTCCTGATGCACTAGTCTTGTGTGTATATGGGTGTTTGTGTTTACGTGTGTGTGTGGGTGTGTGTGTGTGTGGGTGTGTCTGTGTGCATGTGTATCTATGTACATGTATGTGTATCGTGTCTGCATGTGTATATGTATATGTGTGTGTGACTGTCTGAATGTCTATCTATCTGTGTGTGTGTCTATGTGTGTGTGTGTGTGTGTGTGTGTGTGTATGTAAGTGTATCTATGTGCATGTGTTTGTGTGTGTGTCTGTGTGTGCATATATGTGTGTGTGTGTAAGTGTAAGTGTATCTAAGTGCATGTGTCTGTGTGTGTATCGTGTATGTGTGTGTATCGTGTATGTGTGTGTATATATATGTGTGTGTCTTTGAGGATTGGTTGTGTCTCGCCTGGATGGCCCTTTGAAGCGGCGCACTGACCGCACAGGGCACTCGCTCGCTGGGGGAGAGAGAGCTGGAGGGGGGAGGAGAGGGAGGGGGGTGAGGCGGAGGGTGTGAAGCCTGTCATTTGTATACAGCTGTTCCTTTCATGTGGCCTCCTCCCTCCTCTCTCCACTGCCTCTCCATCTCTGTGCGCCTCCAAACCCCCGGAGGATTTTAACAAAGTTGTGTGGAAGCAGCGGCGGCGACAATACGAGGCTTTGATCGGTGCTAGCAAGACAAAGAGGCGAGATGTTACGCTAACGCCAGCAGAATTCATGCTTTTGTGATTTTAAAATGTTCAAAAACACATATTTACAACATATTCAGAAACATGTGTTGTGATAAACTGTTTGTGTTGTTCCATTAAAGCTGGGGGACCTGGCTTTTCCCATGAATAACAGAACCGGTCAAAAAGAGCAGAAATAGAAGATTTCAGGCTGTGTTCTTCCGGATACAAAACATGTATCTTTAGTTTAGGAGGGAGCTCTGGGAGTCACTGTTGGACTCTGTGGGATGAGCAGTCAAATTGACCAGAACCTTCCAATACTTTTGCTTTTCTCCTGTCTAATTTAACATCTCTGGCCTCTCTCTGGTTTCTCTCTGGTCTCTCTCTAGTCTATCACTCTGGTCTCAGCTCTCTCTAGTTCTGTTTCTCTAGTCTCCCTCTCTGGTCTCTCTCTGTTTTCTATCTGGTCTCTCTCTGGTCTCTCTCTGGTCTCTCTCTGGTCTCAGGTCTCTGAACTCTCTCTCTAGTCTCTCTCTTGTCTCCCTTTGGGCTGTCTCAGGTCTCTCTCTGGTTTCTCTCTAGTCTCTCTCTGGTCTCTCTCTTGTCTCTCTCTGGTCCGTCTCTAGTCTCTCTATGGTCCCTCGCTGGTCTCACTCTGGTTTCTCTCTCTCATCCCTCTGGTCTTTCTCTGGCCTCTCTCTGGTCTCCCTCTGGTCTCTCATGGTCTCTCTCTGGTTTCTCTCTGGTCTCTCCCTTGTCTCTCTCTGGTCTCTCTGGTCTCTCTCTGGTCTCCCTCTTGTCTCTGTGGTCTCTCTCTGGTTTCTCCTGTCTGCTCCGCACCCTCTTCACGTTGGTGTTTTGCATTCCAGGCACCGCTGGATTGATTTCCCGCCCTCTTCGTCTCTGAAATAACAACCCACACCGGTCGACGCGTCTGCTGCAGCTGCTTCAGAGAAACGAGACGAAAAACAATCATTGGGATTAATGTTAGAAGTCTCTCTGGTCTCTCTCTTTGTTCTCTCTCTTTCTCTCTGGTCTCTCTCTGGTCTCTCTCTTTGTTCTCTCTCTTTCTCTCTGGTCTCTCTCTGGTCCCTCTCTCTGGTCTCCCTCTGGTTTCTCCCTCTAGCCTCTCTCTGTCTGATCCCACTTTTTGGTCTCTCTCTCTCTGGTCTCTCTCTGGTCTCACTCTTTGGTCTCTCTCATTGGTGTCTCTCTGGTCCCTCCCTCTGGTCTTTCTCTCTCTTTGGCCTCTCTCTTTCTGGTCTCTCACTAGATATCGATATCTAGTCTCTCTAGTTTTTTCCTCATTCTGATCTCTGTAGTCTTTTTCTCTCTGTGGTCTCTTTCTGCTCTCTCTTCCCCTGGTCTCTCTCTCTGGTCTCTCTCTCTCTCTAATGTTCTCCCTCTGGTGGCAGAAGAGGGAGTTACAGGCAGAAATAATTTACGGTTTCACCATATATTTTGTACTGGAGGTATACTTTTACAGTCATTAGTCTCATTATAACATTTAATGCCCAACAATATTCCTTCTTTACCAAAACAAATACTGACACTCCTCCTTTTGTCTATTGTCTCCAAACTCCTTCACACTCTCAGTCCTGTTACGCAGCCTGAATTTCGCCACATCTGCTTCTGGTCCAGACCACTCACACCCTGGATCCCCGTGGAGCCGGAGGGAGCCCCCTGCGCTCCCTCCCCCCAGCTCGGGCCTCTCTCTCTGGGCACGGAGCAGCCAGATGCCAGCCCTGTCGCAGGTGCTCTCGGCGCCGGTGTTAATTGCTGCTAATTGGCGCGACGACAGGATGGAGTGGAGTGTTTCGACACGACGAGACAAGACTGAGGCTCTGGGAACGGAGCGGAGCGTTTACGGCGAGAAGGACGCCGGCAAAATATTACACACATGTGAGAACAGATGCGGCTGTTACTTTGAATTATGAATATAGAGTATGAGATATTCTCTCATTGAAACAGAGAATCAAGGAGCGAACACAGGAAATGCAATAATAACAAACACACAGGATCCAGGACTGAAGCTGTAGTCCAGGACTGAGGCTTTAGATCCAGGACTACGGCTGTAGATCCAGGACTGAGACTGTAGATCCAGGACTGAGGCTGAAGGACTGAGGCTGCAGATCCAGGACTGAGGCTGTAGATCCAGGACTGAGACTGTAGATCCAGGACTGAGGCTGTAGATCCAGGACTGAGGTTGTAGATCCAGGACTGAGACTGTAGATCCAGGACTGAGACTGTAGACCCAGGACTGAGGCTGTAGATCCAGGACTGAGGCTGCAGATCCAGGACTGAGGCTGTAGATCCAGGACTGAGACTGTAGATCCAGGACTGAGGCTGTAGATCCAGGACTGAGGTTGTAGATCCAGGACTGAGACTGTAGATCCAGGACTGAGACTGTAGATCCAGGACTGAGACTGTAGATCCAGGACTGAGACTGTAGATCCAGGACTGAGGCTGTAAATCCAGGACTGAGGTTGTAGATCCAGGACTGAGGCTGTAGATCCAGGACTGAGACTGTAGATCCAGGACTGAGGCTGTAGATCCAGGACTGAGGTTGTAGATCCAGGACTGAGACTGTAGATCCAGGACTGAGACTGTAGATCCAGGACTGAGGCTGTAAATCCAGGACTGAGGTTGTAGATCCAGGACTGAGGCTGTAGATCCAGGACTGAGGCTGTAGACCCAGGACTGAGGCTGTAGACCCAGGACTGAGGCTGTAGATCCAGGACTGAGGCTGTAGACCCAGGACTGAGGCTGTAGACCCAGGACTGAGGCTGTAGATCCAGGACTGAGGTTGTAGATCCAGGACCAAGGCTGTAGAATCCGTGTATCATTCGTTCTTTTGATTTTCTAAATAAAACCAACATTGAAAAAACGAATAACAAGGAATGTTTTTGATTCTCAATATTTAAATTTAATGCAAAATTGAAATATTGGTTTGTTTTTTTGTTTTCTGTGGATCCAATTAAAACGAAAATGCAGTAAACCAATAATGACCGTCTAAATTACATTTTGCGATTTTCCTTTGAAACACAAACGTCCCCCGGAAGTGATTCGAAAGTGCGCGTTTGTCACGAGACCAGGAAGTGTCGCCTCCAGGTACTTGGATCGCACCTTGTTAGCGCTGGTTGTAGGAGAAATGTCTCTTAAAACTCTCCTCAACATCAGTCAGATTACCAGCTTTTTCGTTCGCTGCTGCAGAGACCATCGCAGATGAGAATTCTCAGATTCACGAGAGAAGGGGTTCTTCGATGAAAAATATATACACAAGTGTCAAGGTAAGACATAACTTAGCAACTAGCGCTAACAGCTAAGTTAGCGTTAGCTACGACACATTTAGCTTAAGCACATACATGAAACACTTACACATGTAACAAATGTACCTAATGTGAGTGCTTTATTATTATAAATGTATGTTATAGACTTTCATATTATATAAGAACATGATCTGTTTGTGTATTGGTGAAAGTAATCATGCTAAATTTTAGTAAATAAAAGATGATGCTAGATGTACCTTAACCATTCAATTGTGCTTTGTTTCTGCTTCATTCTCAAATATTGTCGAGGGACAGTAGTTGGAGCTAGATGCTTCAGGCTTATGAAGAGAAACGAGGAGCCCTCAGACTGCAGCTTTGAAACAGTCAGAAAGACAGCAGGTTTGAAACAGTCAGAAAGACTGCAGCTTTGAAACAGTCAGAAAGACTGCAGCTTTGAAACAGTCAGAAAGACTGCAGGTTTGAAACAGTCAGAAAGACTGCAGGTTTGAAACAGTCAGAAAGACTGCAGCTTTGAAACAGTCAGAAAGACTGCAGGTTTGAAACAGTCAGAAAGACTGCAGGTTTGAAACAGTCAGAAAGACTGCAGGTTTGAAACAGTCAGAAAGACTGCAGGTTTGAAACAGTCAGAAAGACTGCAGCTTTGAAACAGTCAGAAAGACAGCAGGTTTGAAACAGTCAGAAAGACTGCAGGTTTGAAACAGTCAGAAAGACAGCAGGTTTGAAACAGTCAGAAAGACTGCAGCTTTGAAACAGTCAGAAAGACAGCAGGTTTGAAACAGTCAGAAAGACTGCAGGTTTGAAACAGTCAGAAAGACTGCAGGTTTGAAACAGTCAGAAAGACTGTAGGTTTGAAACAGTCAGAAAGACTGTAGGTTTGAAACAGTCAAAGCCGCTGGGCTCATGTTCAGCTTGAGTTCCTGTCCTGATAGAAGACTAGCAGAGCATCTTTCTGTTTGGTGGTTACTATTTCTCTTCTGACTTTATAAGATAGTTAAGTTATAACAAGTAATAATTATATGTCTGTTCTAAACCCACTTTTCTGTTTTAGATCTCACTGGGTGTGCAGCAGGTAAAGGTTTCAGACTTCACACTACTCCCAGCCTTGGCCTGTACCAGTGATCTGCACAGCTCTCCAGCTGGTCCTGGCCTGTACCAGTGATCTGCAAAGATGGATGTGTTTATGTCAATGCAATAAAATTAATAATAACTGATCTACAAATCTCCTTTTTGTTCCTTTACATTTTAAACTTTCAACTCGTGTTTATCATTGTAAATTTATGTTACAAAATTAGAATCATTGCATGAAAAAGCACGTACTCATCAGTGTACATTATGTTCTGTCACATTTGAAAGTGTAAAAACTGTTCTTAAATCCAGTTGTCCTGGTCTTAATGGGCATTACACACGCAGTGACCTCACAGATAGAGATGTAAACTGTATGGTCAATCTAACATGTGTTCTGTGAATGTAAAAACCTCCTTGTTCCAGTCTTTTTGGGCTCCTTTATTCACAAACCAACTGTGGCGGAGCTACAAGCAGGTCAGTCTGCAGAGGTGAACAGTTTCTCAATGAGGACACTGCTGAAGATCCCAGACACAGTCGTCCAGTCAGATGTTTGCTGAGAGCAGGGAGCGCTCCTTTCCTACGTCACTGCTACTATCGGTCATGTGTAGAGTCATGATGGTACCTAATAGTATTGTACAGTCCCTGGTTTGCCCTTACATCAGCTCAGTCAGGTTCACTTCTAAACTTTGGAGTCACTGGCTTCTTTGTATGTGTGACTTGCTGTAAATATGTGATTATGTGTCTTTTTAACACAGGTTTTTTTTTTTTTATTCTTTCATTCTTAGCTCTGGATCCTGTGCTTGCATGTAGGTCCTTAGTAAAGTCTAAATAAAATTGGACCCATGTTGCTGCTGAAAGGAAGTCTGAGGTGTAAGTTGTTCTGTAAAGGTACATTCAAATACACAACTTGTCATTTTACAGTCTTGTTTAGTTAAGAATGTCATTTCCTAATTCATAAATCTATTGATACATAATCCACTAACAGTATTTGTTTTAACGGGTTTTCCATTGCTATTCAACACAATTTAGAAAAAAAATGTACGGAATTGTGTCCAAGTGTGTTTTAATTTGGGAACAAACAAATCAAAAATATTTACACTGGAAAGACACACAGAAGATTTACATACATGATGAATTTAGTCTTTGGCCTTCATAATTTGCCAAAACACAACAAGCTGTGATTCCTGAGCCTCGGAGAGACAGAATCCCTCTTGAATGTTGCAATAAAATTATTCCAGGAAAAAGAGATGGAGCAGCAATAGTTTTAAGGCGGCTGATATGTAAAAATATATATATATGTATGTATATATTGGGCAGGAACATGATCCATGTTTAATGAATACATTTACTCAGAATACCTTTCTCTGAGCCACTTCAAAAAGTTTGCTTTCGTGATTAACCACTGTATCCAAAAGAAGAGACATGACTCAGCTGATGACTTGACATTTGGACAAACCTAGTCGGTGTAACGTGGTTGATATTTCTGCATATGTTTGAATGTTTTAGAACCATTCTATCGCTGTATCTGCAAAGTCTTCCAACGCACCCATCATTTAGTTCATCTCCACCGCTACTCCACTGTTTACCTGCGGGGTGCGCACTTGCGAATCACTTCCGGGGGATTCTTGTGTTTCAAATGGAAATTGCAAAAAGTAATTTAGACGATCATTATTGGTTTACTGCATTTTCGTTTTAATTGGATCCACAGAAAACCAAAAACAAACCGATATTTCAATTTTGCATTAAATTCAAATATTGAGAATCAAAAACATCCCTCGTTATTTGTTTTTTCAATGTTGGTTTTATTTAGAAAATCAAAAGAACGAATGATACACGGATTCTGTAGACCCAGGACTCAGGCTTAAGTGAAATAGTTCTTATTTGTCCGTTTTGCTTTGACCAGACTTTTTCTCTTGGGACAGACACAAAATTAGGTGCCCCAGCTTTAACCTGCAGCTTTTGAAGAAACCAAACTGTACATTGTAAATAAATTGCTCCAAAAACACATGTTATTAGCCGTCTCAAAACTGCCTTCTCTATCTTTGATCCGTGCTATCATCTCTATCATCATCTCTATAATCTCCAGTGGCTTCAGCAGATACACAAAATATACTTTTTTTTTTTCCCTTGAGTTGTTTGCAAATTGCTGGATACCGACTCTTGTGTAATGAAAATTATGGTGCGTGTGTGCGTTTAGAGGCTTGTTACGACACGCCACAGAAACCCCTCATTCTCGCCATGATCCCGGTGCTAACCTGTACCATCGATCCAGGCCAGCTCATCAGGGCCTTTCAGAGCGCCCTCAGCCAATCAGAGCGCTCGGAACCTCTCATCACTGACAGCCGCAGAAGGAGAAGGAGACATGTTTTATTCAGATGCTGCTATTATGTGTTAAGGAGGTTTGGAAGATGAATGCTTGTAAATAATCGAGACTATTTTCTCAAATCACCAGACAAAGAAGACGACGTGAGGAGAGAGAGGGAGAATAAATGATATGGGGATTTCAATAGTAGAGAAATAGCTTTGTTTTAAATGAAAATTATCTGGACCTGTAGTTGTCGCTAAATAAATGTGCTGTTATGGCATCACAGAACCTCTGACCTCACGCTCTTCCTGGTCCCTGTACTCCTCACCCACCGCAAAGCATGCAGTTCCGCGGTGAGGCCCCAAGCCCCGCAATGTAGTGTCTACGGCAGGGGTGGCCAACCCGCGGCTCGTGAGCCGCATGCGGCTCTTTGGCTGGTTCCGTGCGGCTCTCGGGCTTTCACTCGACAAGCGTCAAAAACGCCTCGTTGGTGGCGCTGCCTTTCATTCCATATGTAGTTCTGACCAATAGTAAAGGCCGACTTCACTCCACTAGCCAGGCCACCAAAACAATCTGACGTCGGCGAACGTCAATTCTGGTTGGTCAGATGCGCTGTCAACCACTCTGCAGCTGCTACCTCAGCTGTAGCAAATATCATAACAAACAACACGTTGCCTCGAACCATGACGTCCGTACGGAAAACAATTCCTTGGTCGCTGGATGAGGGCAACACCTTCCTCAGTTTGAGGAGAGGACACCAGCCTGATCTCGCTGGTTCCACCAGAAACCAGAAGGTGTTTGTGGAGCTAGCACTAAGGACGGAGCAGAATGATTCCCACAAACATGACAATGCAGAGAAAAGTTAAAAAGCTTAAAAGTGACAACCGTGAAATGAAAGATCGCAGCAGCAGAAGTAGAGGCAGACCCGAAAAGTCTGGAGGTGGTTTGACCAAATGGATTACATTTACGGACATCGGCTAACACCGGCTAACATGCTAAAACCAGCTAACAACAACTAGCATTACACCAGGAGATAAGCCAACTCTGCCTGGTGAGTGTCTGTCTTCAATCCAAATGCGAAACTATCTGGTCTTATACTGAGCATGTGTCTGTGGTTCTAAATCAGCTAAAGTGGTGTTGGTGTTATGTGTCAAATCTATATCTTTTACTAAAGACAGTTGTGTTTCTGCTGAACACTGGGTTGAAACTTGATTTTTTTTTCTTGGTTAGAGATTGAAAGCATTCATTTCGGAATCATAATTGATGTTCGCTGACGTGAAATTGTTCTGGTATCGACTCGCCCGGTTAGAACCAGGGCCAAACCATAAATAAAAAGTACCGGGGAGCGGTTGAAGCGAGCGGTGGAAGCGCCCGCAAACCGGGGAGAGTCGAGTCCAGCCCTTTAGTGCTGTACGAGTCAATTTCTGTCATTATCATGTTGATGACATTTACAATAAATCTGTCTGAGCAGAGCACACCTCTCTCTGCTCAGACAGATTGCATGTGTGTGCGCGTGTCTGCTCGTGTGCGTACAGTACGTGCGCGTGTGCGTGCGTGTGTAAGGGTTGGGGTGATGTTTATGTAGTGCACATTTGTATGATGTGGCTCTTTGCTGTAACACAGTAAAAAAAATTGGCTCTTAGTCTCTGACTGGTTGGCCACCCCTGGTCTACGGAGTGTTGTGTGTGCGCTCCGGTTGCCTGGAGGAAAACATGATTCTGAGGTGGAGTTCTGAAGCTTTGGCCCTAAAGAGCATCAACATCTGGAGCTAGGACTGGGACAGAAGCAGAGGACACAGATCATGTAGAACCCTAAAGAATGTGTGGTTTATGAGGATTTACACACACACACACACACACACACACACACACACACACACACACACACACACACACACACACACACACACACACACACACACACATACACAGATACATACATATACACACACACACACAGGCAAATTCTCTCATACACAAACACAGACATACATCATATAAACACAAGCTCTTACACACACACAGACTCTCTCTCTCTCTCTCTCACACACACACAAACACTCACACACAAACACTCTCCTTCCAACTTCCAAAACCATCTCCTTTAACGCTAACGAGAGCCGATGCTATGCTAATACTATGCTAACAAACAGCTGGACCCTGCGCGCCGCTTTAGCTCAATTACCACAGCGCTCTGATATTAACGAGTCCCCGAAGCGCGATCGGGCGCACGTCGTTAGCTGGCGGCCTCCTCTCCGCGGGGGGCGTGTTCTGCAGAATGATCACCATAGTTTTGGGTGCGCTGATAAGATTACAGCCCAGCGGGGAGCTCTTAGGATCGTGTCTCCAGCCCCATTAGGAAAGCACACAGGCCGGAGCCGAGGTAAGTGGTCCCAGGGCGCGGATGGAGGGGTAATATTTGGAAGAGGGAAAGAGGAAGCTAATTGTTTAAAAGAGTGGATTCCAGAGAGCGCGAAACCAGGGAATAATGCACTGGTTTAATGTTGCTCACTGGATCATACTGTCCATACATATATACTACTGTAGCCGCAGCTGCCTTGGGTTGGACTGACAGAAGCGAGGCAACCACTCTGTTTAGCTCTTCATTGACCTTTGTCCATCCATACACGGCCTTTGCCTTAAGCGTTTTCACATTTATGGCCCCGGACAGACCACAGTCGGCAAAAAGGTAAGTCCATTTTGTGGTTGTGTGATCTGGATTGCAAGAAATCACCGTGTCGAGCTAATCTCACTGGTGAAGTAACATGTGGCAGCTGCACTAAAAATGTCTTGTTATGATTCTCAAAATATGAAAAACAAAACAAGGAATAAAACGAGGATTTTTATCGGGGCATGTGTGAAAACGGTGTTGGTTATAGATGTTTTGTTGACAATGTTTAAAACCAGTTCTGTTTAGCTGTGTGTAGAACTGAGGGATTTTATATGTTTACCTTTCTTTTTAATGTACTGTGATTATTATCTTATTTTGTTCAGCACTTTGAGTTGCCTTGTGTATGAATTGTTCAGATACAGTATTATGGTCCCAGCTGGATTCGTTTGCATATCTGGCAACCTGAGTCAGGGAGAGTGGAAGAGGATTACAGAAAATTAACCATGATTGCAGTACCACTTTTGGCCAAATTTTTGCATATTGCTCCTTTAAATACAGGTTCACCTTTTCTTTTGATCTACTGTACATTCCTTGTCTGCCATTGTAGCCACTCAATGCTACACTACCTCACACCTGTCAGGGGCCCCCACTGGTTCAAAAGGCCCCACGCCCTCTGCCGTGTGTGCTCCGCCCCTGCTCAAAGCTAATGCACTGGACAGGCTACACACATCTTGCCACTCATCGCCGCTTGCAGCTTTAACTCTGCCCTGTTGTTGTGAATGAGATATAGACATGTGTTGTATGTTAAAGGAAGCAACACAAATCCTCAGTTTGCATTTAGTTAATGTCCTCACACCGGAACAGTGACTGATTATAGATGCATATGTGTGTGTTCTTTTATGCAGAATGTTGTGTGTCTGAGCTCTCACACCTCGTGTCCTTTTGCAGAGGTGTTAAATTAACCAAACAGAGCGGCGTTCGCACATGTCCAGCGCTAACAACGTCCCTGGTCCCAGCTGCAAAGGAGAACGTCAAAATACACAAGGAAAAAACACCGCAAATTAGTGGAAACATGGACAAAATGGACAGCTCCATGTCGACAGAAGAGTGTGTTTGTGTGTGTGTGTGTGTGTGTGTGTGTGCAAGAAGAGCCTGATGTTGGTGTGAAGGCAAAAGCTGTTGAAGAACAAGGGCTGTATTTATAGCATTTTTACATAGCTTTTTTACATAGTGTTTTGGGACGCTTCACATGTCATAATTCATTCATTCCAAACACAGTGGTGATAGACTACTACAATGGCCACAGCTGCCCTGGGGCATACTGACAGAAGCAACCCCTCCAACCACCACCAACCATTCGCACACACACCAGACTCATTCTAATTTGGGTGAAGTGTTTATCAGACATCACCACAGTTCGGCACTTTACAGGCGCAGTCACCCCACTGTGGCACCTGCTGTTCCCAGTGGTCTCCCATCACAGCACTAACCAGGTACTGTCCTGCTTAGCTTCAGAAATCTCACAGGATCTGGCTTTCCCCTGCAGTGAAAATGTTAAAGTTTCTGCAGATCAAAAAGCTCATTTGCAAATAGCATAAGTCTAATAACAACATGAGGAGAGAGAGAATAATAAAATAATATGTTTGAGACCGAAGAGGCGTAGAGCTCCTGTGTGTGATGTTGTGAGGAGAGAGTCTCAGGCGGAAATGGTTTTGTTTGATTAAAAAGGTTTTTAAACAGAACCTGGATGAATGAATATCACAGACACAAAGGACACGGCTTCAATCAAATCATTTACATTTTACATTAGATTTTTTTTCAAAGAGAGGTTTAAATTATACAGGTATTTTTTATGTTTTAGAGAGTGTCTGAGGCTGTAGATCCAGGACTGAGACTTTAGATCCAGGACTGAGGCTGTAGATCCAGGACTGAGACTTTAGATCCAGGACTGAGGCTGTAGATCTAGGACTGAGGCTGAAGATCCAGGACTGAGGCTGTAGATCCAGGACCGAGGCCGTAGATCCAGGACTGAGGCTGTAGATCCAGGACTGAGACTGCAGATCCAGGACTGAGGCTGCAGATCCAGGACTGAGGCTGTAGATCCAGGACTGAGACTGCAGATCCAGGACTGAGACTGCAGATCCAGGACTGAGACTGCAGATCCAGGACTGAGACTGCAGATCCAGGACTGAGACTGCAGATCCAGGACTGAGACTGCAGATCCAGGACTGAGACTGCAGATCCAGGACTGAGGCTGTAGATCCAGGACTGAGACTTTAGATCCAGGACTGAGGCTGTAGATCTAGGACTGAGGCTGAAGATCCAGGACTGAGGCTGTAGATCCAGGACCGAGGCCGTAGATCCAGGACTGAGGCTGTAGATCCAGGACTGAGACTGCAGATCCAGGACTGAGGCTGCAGATCCAGGACTGAGGCTGTAGATCCAGGACTGAGACTGCAGATCCAGGACTGAGACTGCAGATCCAGGACTGAGACTGCAGATCCAGGACTGAGACTGCAGATCCAGGACTGAGACTGCAGATCCAGGACTGAGGCTGTAGATCCAGGACTGAGGCTGTAGACTTTACAACTCTCTTCGATCTTAGCATTACTCCTAAAGACCTTTTTGTCGACTGTTTATTCAGTTACAGTTCTCAAAATCTCCACAAACCCATTGATAGCGATGGATTCTTACAGACAGTTTTGACACGCTTCAAACCCATACAAACATATTCAAAAACCTGCTTTCTAAACGGACATGAGCTGGCATTTAAGTCCATTTCCCTGGCTAATATCCCACTAAACATGGATAAACTTGACATCTGGGGCTTACATCCTCACTCCTTCTTCTTGTAGTCGTCCCCAAAAACTACTGCTTTCATTCATTCACTTACTATACCCGCTAAGAAGTCCCTGACACAGCCCTTTCGTGAGGATTCACCATGTTGGGATTTGAATAATGCTCAGATTAAAAGCCGGGGAAGCGTCTGGGAGAGGCGTGGGTTTGAGGCTTGTGAGGTTAGCATGAGGCGAGTGTGGTGCTGTGTGGTGTTGTGGGGTGTTGTGGGCCTGGTCTGGGTTTGCTCTGGCCTCTCTAAGCCTTCAATTAAACGCATGCTACCTTTAGCGAGTGGCTAATCCGCTTACAGTGCGCAGGGTTTTTGCCGGTGGAGAGAAAAGTGCACACGGACTGTAACCTAAGGCAGTTCTTAAGAAGACAGACGAGACGTTGTATGCAGAAGAAACTAAATGTCTATGCTAAGGAAGTGTGTGTTGTGATGCCTAGGTTGTCAAACTATAATAATATAATACTGCGAAAACAACATCATGTTAAAGGCTAAGTAGAAAATTTGGACATTTAAGTTTGTGTATAGTGTCTGTCAGACTAGAGAATAATTCAATGCATTTGTGTGGAGCACTAAATTACAACAACAGTTGTCTCAAAAGGACGTGGAAAGGAAAGTTGTGGATTTACCAACAGCAGATCAAAGAATCAAACACAGGAAATGTTATAGTAACACATAGGAGCCATGGATTTATGGGGAGCGGGATGACCACTGTTCAGAAATGTTAATAAATGTGCTGAACCAGTCTGAAAGTGAGGTTGTAGATCTAGGACTGAGGCTGTAAATCCAGGACTGAGGCTGTAGATCCAGAATTTTGTATCTCCCATTTTGGACCTGTCTCTAGCAAGTTTAATAACATGGGATTAGAAAAGAAATTGCAATTTGTGGTTGGCATTCAGCAGAACATTGACGTTAATCAAATAAGAAGCTAATAATAGACAAAGAACGTGAACGTATATCGACCGTTCGCTCTGCTCTATATTACTTGATCATTTCTCTATGTTTACTCAGTCTCTGCTTAATGCCTTCTCCACAGTGCACCGCGCTTTCGCCTCCGTAAAAGCCGGAACCTTGTGTTTATGTCACACATGTTAATTGATTTGTTCAGATAAAGAGACAGAGGTGTGTGGATTGTGTAGCTGCAAAAAGACAGAAGAAAGAGAAAAAAACATTGAGAAAATTTGGTTTTCTAGGTTGTTGGTCAATGGGAAGAAGTCTCACCAAGGAGAGGACGTTGCATGAGGACAGCGTAACGAGCCGTGGAGCTGTGTTTGGGTGAATGAGAGTCCATCCATCCATCCATCCATTTTCTTCCGCTTTATCCGTTGCCGGGTCGCGGGGGCAGCAGTCTAAGCAGAGACGCCCAGACTTCCCTATCCACACACACTTCCTCCAGCTCGTCCGGGGGGACCCCAAGGCGTTCCCAGGCCAGCTGAGACACCTAGTCCCTCCAGCGTGTCCTAGGTCTTCCGCGGGGCCTCCTCCCGGTGGGACGTGCCCGGAACACCTCCCCAGGGAGGCGTCCAGGAGGCATCCGGAACAGATGCCCGAGCCACCTCAATTGGTTCCTCTCGACGTGGAGAAGCAGCGGCTCTACTCCGAGCTCCTCCCGTGTGACCGAGCTCCTCACCCTATCTCTAAGGGAGCGCCCAGCCACTCTGCGGAGGAAGCTCATTTCGACCGCTTGTATCCGCGATCTCGTTCTTTCGGTCATTACCCAAAGCTCATGACCATAGGTGAGGGAGGGAACGAAGATTGACCGGTAAATCGAGAGCTTTGCCTTTCGGCTCAGCTCCCTCTTTACCACAACGGTCCGATACAGCGACCGCATCACTGCGCACGCTGCACCGATCCGCCTGTCAATCTCACGCTCCATTCTTCCCTCACTCGTGAACAAGACCCCGAGATACTTGAACTCCTCCACTTGAGGAAGGACCTCTCCACCCACCTGAAGAGGGCAGGGCACCTTTTTCCGGTCGAGCACCATGGCCTCAGATTTGGAGGTGCTGATTCTCATCCCAGCCGCTTCACACTCGGCTGCAAACCGTCCCAGTGAATGCTGCAGGTCCTGGTTCGTTGGAGCCAACAGGACAACATCGTCCGCAAACAGCAGAGATGAAATCCTGTGGTCCCCGAACCGGACCCCCTCCGACCCCTGGCTGTGCCTAGATATTCTGTCCATAAATACAGTGAACAGAACCGGTGACAAAGGGCAGCCCTGTCGGAGGCCAACATTCACCGGGAACAGGTCTGACTTACTGCCGGCAATGCGAACACAGCTCTGGCTCCGGTCATACAGGGACCGGATGGCCCTCAGCAGAGGACCCCCGACCCCGTACTCCCGGAGGACCCCCCAAAGGACACCCCGGGGAACACAGTCGAACGCCTTCTCCAAATCCACAAAGCACATGTGGACAGGTTGGGCGAACTCCCATGAACCCTCGAGTATCCGATGGAGAGTATAGAGCTGGTCCAGTGTTCCGCGACCGGGACGAAAACCACACTGCTCCTCCTGGATCCGAGATTCGACCATCGGCCGTAGCCTCCTCTCCAGTACCTTGGAGTAGACCTTACCGGGGAGGCTGAGGAGTGTGATCCCACGATAATTGGAACACACCCTCCGGTCCCCCTTCTTATAGAGAGGGACCACCACCCCGGTCTGCCACTCCACTGGCACCGCCCCCGATCGCCACGCGATGTTGCAGAGACGTGTCAGCCAAGACAGTCCTACAACATCCAGAGACTTTAGATAATCAGAATGAGAGTCCTTTTCCTTTATACATTTATACAAAAATATATGTTGGAAAGTGTCTGAATTTCTCCACGTGGATGAGAAACTTGCTGTAGTCTATTTAAATGTGGTTTTCTCTGGTCTCTCTCGCTGGTCTCTCGCTTGTCTATCTCTGGTCTCTCTCTGGTCTCTCTCTTGGCCTCTCTCTGGTCTCTTTCTCTGGTACCTCTCTGGTCTCTCTCTGGTCTCTCACTGGTAACTCACTGGTCTCTCTCTTGGTCTCTCTCTGGTCTCTCTCTGGTACCTCTCTGGTCTCTCTCTGGTTTCTCTCTGGTCCTGGTCTCTCTCAGGTCTCTCTCTGGTCTCTCTCTCTGGTCTCTCCCTGGTCTCTATTCTAGTATCTCTCTGGTCTCTCCCTGGTCTCTCTCTCTCGGGTCTGTCTATCTATCTATCTATCTGACCTCATACCTCTTCACTTTGAGAGGACCGACACCAACGTTCACCTTCATCATTCATTCCAACTTTTTGTCGTCTCATAAAACACCTCTCTGGACAAGCAGCACAAACTCTCTCTCGACTATCACGGCGTTTCGACAATTTACACACCGCGCCGTCGCTAGCTAACGAGAATAAAGTTTGCGCAACGGCCAATCAGCAGAGAGAGAGAGAGAGAGAGAGAGAGAGAGAAGCCCTGACTGTTACATCTGCCAATACCCTCACTGATTTACACCCCAATCTGCCCCATGGAGAATCCTTTTCAATATTAAAACCAGGCCATAATTTCTCGGGGTTTATTACAATGGCGGTCCTCCTGCTCGGTAAATCAGCGCGCACAGCGGCTAATGACTCACGCTGGGAATCAGGCATGTCTTTTTCCAATCCCAAATTGCGAACGAAATGTGGTATTATTTCAGCGCGGAGCCGTGTTCCTCCTTGGCGTTTGGATGGCGGCGGCGGTAATGGCGGTCGTGCTGCAGAGAGGGTGCTCCTTGTTCCTGGGAGATGATGATCCAGGTTCAATTCCACGGAGGGTCCGGGAATGATGGGAGATTAGTGGAAGTTTTTGATTGTGGTGGATGCCACAGATGCAGGATTCCACAGATGCACGGTGGTGAACGATGTTAGTTACTCAGTCGCTTTGGTGCATTTCTCACATCACTCTTCACATTTGCACAACAGTTTGTGCATTTCTCAGAACAATTAGGGTTCCTGCAAAAGTGCGTCACTTTCTCAAAATGAAGGTTAATTCCTCAAAAGCAAGTCTTCATGTCAATGAAACTGTCTGTGTCTCAGAATAATATGTCCTGACAACATTGAGTATGAACAACAGTCAACTGACTTCATGTTTTCATTGTGACAGTTTACTCTCTCTGTGTTTTCACTGTAAAAAAGTCAGATCTCGGTGACACTTGGTGAGCAGTATACACTGTACAGCCAAAAACTACAGTAAAGATACACATGCCTGTATTTAGAGACATAACTGAGTACAATACACATATGTACAGTATGTACTGTTTGTATTTCACATATTTACTGCATATGCTCTTTGCATCATTATGGTAGAACTGTGACAATTGTAAACAATAAAACACACACCTCCTCATGAGTGAAGCTGAAGGAGAGATTTTCAGGAAAATATATAAATAAAGGAATGTATGAAATTAGTTTGACAGATTTAGGTTTTGAACTAGTTCAACGTTTTGTTTGTGATGACCAAAGCGATGAAATGAGGACAGTTAGTTTTATAAGGAAAGACTATTCAGAATGTAGAAGTATGTTTCATTCTGACTGACAGGACACAAGCAAATGATAATGTTAAAAAACAGCAGAGAATTGTATGAAAGTAACTGATACATGAACAAAAGCATTTGTAAAGTGTTCAAAGGAGAAACTGCTGCGATGATGTCACACATGATTCAATGTTCTGGAGGTTGAACTAAAAGTCATGAGAAATGCTCCAAAGACACTGAGAAGAACTGTAAACACAGAGATATATGTGTTTTTCAATGTTTTTTTATTTTGTTTAGTGATTCATTTCAAACAGGCACAAGATGTAGGACAGTTACTCACAGGAAAAAGACAAAAATTAGATGAAAATAACAATAATAAAAACACACACACGTAGAATCTCTGAGTTTGTTATCTTTCTAAATCAAGTCTGAATCAAGTAGTCTGGCCCTATGTACTGCAGATTGAGTTTCTCTCTCTCTTGTCTCTCTCTGGTCTCTTTCAGCTCTCGCTCTCTGGTCTTTCTCTATCTGTTCTCGCTCTCTGGTTTCTAACTGCTCTCTCTTTCTGGTCTCTCTTTTTGGTCTCTCTCTATCTACTCTCGCTCTCTGGTTTCTCTCTATCTGCTCTCTCTTTCAGGTCTCTCTCTCTGCTCTCTCTCTATCTCCTCTATCTTTCAGGTCTCTCTCTCTGATCTCCCTCGCTCTGGTCTCTCTCTATCTACTCTCCCTCTCTGGTTTCTAACTGCTCTCTCTCTCTAGTCTCTCTCTGGTCTCTCTTGGTGGTCTCTCTCTGGTCTCTCTTGGTGGTCTCTCTCTGGTCTCTCTTGGTGGTCTCTCTCTGGTCTCTCTCTGGTCTCTCTGTGGTCTCTCTCTGGTCTCTCTCTGGTCTCTCTGTGGTCTCTCTGTGGTCTCTCTCTGGTCTCTCTCTGGTCTCTCTGTGGTCTCTCTCTGGCCTCTCTCTGGTCTCTCTGTGGTCTCTCTCTGGCCTCTCGCGCTGGTCTCCTTTCGGGCTCCCCTTGGTCTGGACAGGACACTTTCTTGGGAATATGGCTTTGGAAAATCGCACGTGTTTCGATGTACGATACGCGACCCTCACGTTGAGAACCTCCGCCTCTCGTAGTTAATTGCACACTTTTCCAGTGTAATGTAATGAATCAACGGAAGCGTCATCAGCGCGGCCGTAAATGTGGTGTAGACAAAGGCTGAATTAACTCTATTAAGTGGAATGGCTTCTGAGGCTAATGGTGCGTTTGAGTGTCGCTCGGAAACTTCACCGTCTCAAAGTTGTTCAACAAAAATAAAAATAAAACTTTGAATGCAGCGTGGAGGACAGAGGAGGAGAGAGACCAAGGAAAGAGGAGAAGAGAGTACAAGGACATAGGAGAAGAGAGTACAAGGACAGAGGAGAAGAGAGTACAAGGACAGAGGAGGAGAGAGTACAAGGACAGAGGAGGAGAGAGCACAAGCTGAGGCAGCGTTTCAGAGAGTGCAGAGAGAGCCCAGGGAGAGAGAGAGAGAGAGAGAGAGAGAGAGAGAGAGAGAGAGAGAGAGAAAGAGAGAGACACAAAGGCCAGAGAGAGAGAGATCGGAGTGATAAAGCAAAGACATTGACCAGAGAGAGAGAGAGAAAGAGAGCACAGAGATAGACCAGAGACAGAAAGGCCAGAGAAAAAAGCCAGAGAGGAGAGACAGAAGAGAGAGAGAGAGAGAGACCAGAGAGAGACCAGAAAGAGAGAGACCAGAGCTGTACATACAACTGAAGGATTGTATCTCCACATCTTTTATTTCCACTGTGGTTATTATTATTTAACGCCCTGTCTACATCTCATTTCTACCTTGATTTTTCCGCACTCTGAGTTGTGTATGAACTGTGCTATACAAATAAACCCCCTATACACTGTCGCTACATTATTTCCCATCCTCGTATCAGTGGAGATGAACAAATTGAAAATGTGGTTTGATACATACAAACTGTCCTTGAATAATTTTTTTTTTTTTTAAAGTTATGCTTTTTGGCAACCGTAAAAGCAAAATACCATTTTGAATAGTTAGATTTATGGAATTCCAATTGAACATGTTAAAGAAAATGTATTTTTAGGAGTCATAATACAGTCATAAAAGTGTTGGAATGTTGAGAAGATCAAGTCATTTACAATACCGATGCTCTGTTATTATTGTATCGCTCATTCATTAACGGCTTATCAACCGAGCAAGCGAGGTTAATAAATGTTTTATTATATGACTCTCGTCTGTGTCTTTACCAATGCTTTTGAGATATTTGTGAAGTATGTTCATGTCCGACTTGGTTTTGTGTGATACAGGCTGTGGACCGATTGTCATGGTAACGGTCCGTGGAAAGATATCAAATGTGATACACGCTGCTCGAACCAGTTGTCATGGTAACGGTCCGAGATGGGAAAATATCAGACCGCAAATCAACCAATCAGAGCGCGCGTACGGTCCAAGGCATATAATAATATGTCTTATTCGACATTACTTATTGTGTTGAGGTGTGGGGGAATTGTTTCAAATCTCACTTGCAGCCCTTGGTTGTTTTGCAAAAGAAAGCCCTGAGGATTGTGTGTGACGTCCAGTACAGACCCTTCTAATCCCTGTTCATTGCAAATCAGGAACTCAAACTGTACGACCTGATTATGTTTAAAACTGCTCCGATAATGTTCAGGACGTCTGTAAACTCTCTCCCATCCAACTTACAGGAGCTGTTCCATGATAGAGACGCTCACCGCAGCCACAAACTCAGAGGACACGGTAAATGATATCAACCTAAAGTTCGAGCAATCCTTAAGTCAATGTGTGGAGTTAATATTTGGAACCAACTGTCAGATGAATTGAAATCATCCTCAAACAGAAGAATATTCAAGAACAAATGTAAAAATGAACTGTTGCAGAAATACTTGGGGGAGAGTGTGTGATGCCCTGGGCGTGTTCTGGTGCTGAGAGAGGGGTGGGGGGTCGGAGAGTGATTGGGCCAGTGTGAGTCTGTTGTTTGTGTTGTTTGTATGTTGGAATGTATGTTTGTGTGTGTCTTTATGTCCTGTCTGTATGAGTGCGGAGTGTAAGGAGGGGGTTGGAAATATAAAAGAGTTTGCTTCAGCCAACCCCCTTTCCAAACCTTGCATATTGATTGTATTATTCTGTTGAAATAAACAGAATAAACGTGAAAATTCTCCATCATAAACCACACAGTACACATCCTCAAGATCCTGTTTTGGGGCCGGGAAGCTGAGGGGCTGCAGAGGTGTGTATGTGTTGTGTGTATGTGTGTGTGTTGTGTGTATGTGTGTGTATGCGCGTGCTGTGTGTATATGTGTGTGTGTGTGTGTTGTGTGTGTGTGTGTGTGTGTGTGTGTGTTGTGTGTGTGTGTGTGTGTGCGCTGGACCCTGGACTTTATAAAACGCTGCTTTCTCATTACACTAATGAACTTTCTAATTGCCTCCTCCCCCTCGCTCCAACACAGACATTAGGCCCGGTGTCATTTACTTTAGTCCAGGACACAAACCAGCGGCCATTTTGTTCTCCCCCCCCGCCCTCCCCCCTCTGAGGCTGGGGGAGGTCGAAAGGATGTAGTTAAGCAAGAGTTTACTTTAAGAAGGAATACGGAGGAAATGTGTCATCAACTTATTGGAGGGTTTTTTCAACTATTGTCTCATTATCAAATACGTACGTTCCTCTGGTTCTGTTTTATCTGTACCAGGTTCTTCTTTAGTCCCTCTTAGTCCTGGTTCTATCCAAACAGAGTTGGTACTTTTTGAACAATTAAATCATTCCCTCATCGCAATAATCACAGGAATTTTGATCCAAAAGTACAACTTTTTTGACCAAAATTCAACATTTTCCTTCCACATTGAGCGACACAGGCTGGTGGGACTAAAAGGACTCGGCCTCAGTCCTGGATCTACAGCCTCAGTCCTGGTTCTACAGCCTCAGTCCTGGGTCTACAGCCTCAGTCCTGGTTCTACAGCCTCTGTCCTGGTTCTACAGCCTCAGTCCTGGTTCTACAGCCTCAGTCCTGGGTCTACAGCCTCAGTCCTGGGTCTACAGCCTCAGTCCTGGCTCTACAGCCACAGTCCTGGGTCTACAGCCTCAGTCCTGGGTCTACAGCCTCAGTCCTGGGTCTACAGCCTCAGTCCTGGCTCTACAGCCACAGTCCTGGGTCTACAGCCTCAGTCCTGGGTCTACAGCCTCAGTCCTGGTTCTACAGCCTGTCCGTCCTTGGCAGTGGATCTCTCTCTCTCAATTTTTTTTTGTTTTTTTTTAAATACTAAAGCAAAGTTTCTCAAAATTGTGTTTC